CTGCCCCTTACTCAGCACCCTGCGTCTACAGGCCTGTGGCTTTGGCCCCAGCTTCTTCCCGAGCCACCAGACAGCATTGGGTAGTGCTTTCCAAGGTGAGCTTGACCAGGTACTCCCTGTCCATTCCCTAGCCCTGGGGCATTGAGGGTTTCGAGGACCTTCAGAGGGGGCCTGGACTGGGCACAGGGGCAACACCTGTGGTCCCAGCTACTTGGGAGGCTGAGGCGGGAGTATCGCTGGAGCCAAGAGTTCCAGGACAGCCTGGCCAACATAGACCCCATCCCTTAAGAAAAAAAGTCTAGGCTGGGCGCGGTAGCTCACGCCTGTAATCCCAGCAGTTTGGAAGGCCAAGGCAGGCAAATCACCTGAGGTTGAGATTTCGAGACCAGCCTGACCAACATGGAGTGCACAGGTCATGCCACTGCACTCCAGCCTAGGCGACAAAGCAAGATTCTGTCTCAAAAAAAACAATGCCTAGGGGCCTGGGATGCCAGACCTGGCTCTCCAAGAGGGCCTGGCACCTGGGAGCAATAGATGGATGTATGGGTACAGGGTCTGCCTCCAAGGGGCATCTGGTGCCCACCCAGCCAGGCTGACCCTCCCAGGGAACACCGCGAGCAGAGTCCAGGCAGCTCAATGTCTGGTGGTCCCTGACCCGTGCTTACCAGCTGAGTGCTGTTCGACTGAGGCAGTTCCACTGTGAGCCCACCCAGGCGGCAGAGACTGTGGTCCCAGTGCCAAGAGGCTGGGAATTGGGTATCATCCAGGGGTGGGGGAGTGTAAGGGGGGCAGCAATGGTCAGTGCACTCCCCTGACACCCCACCGTGCAGAGGCATGTGACCCAGGACCGTGTGGTTGTGGGGTGGGAGAGGGCAAGGTGTCCAGAACTGGGGGGCAGCCAAGCTTGGAAGTCTGACCCCACCCTCCCAGCTGGGAGAACGTGGGCGAGAGCCTTTGCCTCTGCACTTACCACCCCACCCCACAAGCACTGTGGTAGTGGTTTCCCCAAAGGGGTCCTGAGGGTTCTGGGCCCAGAACTTGGGGTGGGTACAGGGCTGTGGCCACGTGGGGCTGACAGATTCTGGCCCTGGTGCAGACGCTGAGCACCTGAAGACCCTGTGCCTGTCCTACAATGCCCTGGGAGCCCCATCCCTGGCCAGGACCCTGCAGAGCCTGCCCGCCCACACCCTCCTGCACCTAGAGCTCAGCTCCGTGGCAGCCGGCAAGGGTGACTCAGGCCTCATGGAGCCCATAGTCCGATACCTGGCCAAGGTACGAGGTGGGGAAGGGCCCAGAAAATACTGAGCCTCAGAGGCCAAAGGTCCCGGGGAGCTGGGAGGAGCTCACCTCTCCCCAGATTCCGACTGAACTCACTGAAGGGCTCTACAGAGAGGGTTAGAGGTTTGGAGGTTTAGAAAAAACAGCTGGGGGGCCAGTCGCGGTGGCTCACGCCTGTAATCCCAGCACTTTAGGAGGCCGAGGCAGGTGGATCACGAGGTCAGGAGTTCAAAAGCAGCCTGGCCAACATGGTGGAACCTCGTCTCTACTAAAAATAAAAAAATTAGCCGGGCATGATGGTGGGTGCCTATAATCCCAGCTACTCGGGAGGCTGAGGCAGAGAATTGCTTAAACTCGGGAGGCGGAGATTGCAGTGAGCCGAGATCGCGCCATTGCACTCTAGCCTGCGACAGAGCGAGACTCCATCTCAAAAAAAAAAAAAAAAGCAAAGAAAAAACAGGCCGGGCACACTGACTCATGCCTGTAATCCCAGCACTTTGGGAGGCCAAGGCAGGTGGATCACAAGGTCAGGAGATTGAGACCATCCTGGCTAATACAGTGAAACCCCGTCTCTACTAAAAAATACAAAAAACTGGCCGGGCGAGGTGGCGGGCGCCTGTAGTCCCAGTTACTCGGGAGGCTGAGGCAGGAGAATGGTGTGAACCCGGGAGGCGGAGCTTGCACTGAGCTGAGATCCGGCCACTGCACTCCAGCCTGGGCCACAGAGTGAGACTCCATCTCAAAAAAAAAAAAAAAAAAACCGCTGGGGGAATGCTTTTGTACAGCTGCTTGTCTCAGCTATGAATTCCTGCCCACCAGATAGGACCTGGGACCCAGGGTGGCCTTGCCCACCCATAGGCAGGTCCCAAGGGGCACACTAGGGGCCCCTGATACTCTCTCCTGGGGGGTCTTCTAGGCCCAACTGGGACCCTATTTTCACACCACCACGTGCAGAGTGTGACCCACATCGGGAGAGGTGTTTCCTTCCGATCTCCAAATTGATGGGGGACTCTGCTCCCTTTTGGGCCCCTGGGTGTGGGTGCATCTGCTGGAAGCAGGGAGGGCAGGTGCGCCACTCGGTTTGGCCCCCTTGGGGCTCTGCTCATGTCCAGGAAGGCTGTGCTCTGGCCCACCTGACCCTGTCTGCAAACCACCTGGGGGACAAGGCCATTAGAGACCTGTGCAGGTAACGCCCCTGCCCTGCTGCCTGCTGGCCTGGGGGTCTGATCACATGGCTCCGGACCCCAGGGGAGCTGGGCTACGGGAGAAGGGCCACAGAAATGGTACCAGCTCCTCCTCCCCAGCGCGTCCGGAGACATGGCTCCTTCAGTTTCCACCAGCCTCTCAGGCTGTCCTGGAAGGCAGACTATCCTCGGGCTTCTTTCTTAGCATGGGCCTGTGGCTCTTGACAGCGCCCCTCTGGGCGTGTCCTTGTCACTGCTGTGCATCGGCCCACATGAGGGCCACTGCTCTTACCACCTGGAGCCTCAGTCAGCTCTCCAGGGAGTGCTGAGAGGAGCCCAAGCTGGGCCAGGCACACCCAGAGCTGGCCACTGTGGCCCTGACCCCTGGGAAGGACCCCCAGCCCTAGAGGGGCACCTGCCCCTGGGCCTGGCCCGAGGCTCCCTGAGCTGGGCATTTGTCAGGGCAGCTTTCCTGGTGTTGGGGCACTGGCCTCTGGAAGCCAACCTTTGCACTTCTTCCCACGTTATCTCAGATGTCTCTCTCTGTGCCCCTCGCTCATCTCGCTCGATCTGTCCGCAAACCCTGAGATCAGCTGTGTCAGCCTGGAAGCGCTCCTGTCTACCCTCCAAAAGCGGCCCCAAGGCCTTAGCTTCCTTGGCTTGTCAGGTGAGGGCTGGTATGGTGGCCATGCCTGCCATGTTTGGCCTTTTCAGGGACCTGCCTGAGACCCGGGGGCCTCCTCCTAAGGGGCTGTCACTGCTACCAGCCAGGCAGCAAGGCTGGGCTCCGTGAGGCTGGGGCAGCAGGGGGCAGGGAGACTGACAGAAAGGGGGCATGATCCCAGCTCCTAAAACCACAGGGTGGGGGCGAGGTGGGTCTCTGCCTCTGGTCTCCAACCCAACCTTCAGAGTAGACTCTGGCAGGCAAGGCCCCCTTCCACAGGGACTTTCTCGTCCCTGGCAGGAAGAGGGAGCCCAAGGTCAGGGTGTTGAAAGCTGCCAAGGGACCCCCCCACTTCCTGGCAGGGGCTCCTCCGACACAACCCTGCCCAGGCTGTGGTCTCATTTAGCTTGTTTTCTCTTGAGCCACATCAGGGCAGTCCCCAACCTGAGCTGTCTGGAAGACAATCCCAGGGACCTGGCTTCCCAGCTGGGGCCAGGGCAGGCTCTGCCCTCCGGGGGATGAGGGCTGTAAGTGAATGTAAGAGCACAAGGGGGAGCTCTGCTGTCTTCCTGCGCCCCGTCTTCACCCCCCAGGGCCAGACCGCCTTTTCCAGGACGGCGCCCGAGTGCTGGTGGGAGATCCCCTCCCCCCACTTGGGTTCCTGGCATCTGTACCTTTCCACCCAGTTCCCTGAATTCCTGAGCTTAGTGTCCTCGAGCCACTCAGGCCCACCACGTACAGATTTGCAAGCAGCCCCATTATGTCTTTATGGGTGGAGACTGACGTGTAGGCATGGACTTCGAGATCGGGCACCGTCAGAGGCAGAGCACCTTCCTCCTGCCTCAACGCTGGCGGTGCAAAGGAGCCCACTCCTTCCTGGAGTGTCATGGGGCCTCTCCGGGGCTCTCCCCGCTGCCCCTCACTACAGCCCTGGGTCCCTCAGGGAAAGCGAGTTGGTTCCCTGGAGCCTGCCGCGGGCACCGGGACGCCGCCGGCCCCCGCAAGCGCTGAGGCCTGCCCTCTTCCCTCCGCAGGCTGCGCCATCCAGGGTCCCCTGGGCCTGGGCTTGTGGGACAAGATCGCCGCGCAGCTCCGGGAACTGCAGCTGTGCAGCAGACGCCTCGGCGCCGAGGACCGGGACGCCCTGCGCCAGCTGCGGCCCAGTCGGCCGTGCCCCGGCGAGTGCACGCTGGACCACGGCTCCAAGCTCTTCTTCCGGCGCCTCTGACCCCGGCGCCGCCTTTCCCCACCCTCACCGAAGCCCCTAATAAATGAAGCTGCTGGCCGGACGCGATGGTTCACGCCTGTAATCCCAGCACTTTGGGAGCCCGAGACGGGCGGATCACGAGGTCAGGAGATGGAGACCACCCTGGCTAACACGGTGAAACCCCGTCTCTACTAAAAATACAGAAAATTATCCGGGCGCAGTGGCAGCGCCTGTAGTCTCAGCTACTTGGGAGACTGAGGCAGGAGAATGGCATGAACCCGGGAGGCGGAGCTTGCAGTGAGCCGAGACTGCGCCACCGCACTCCAGCCTGGACGACAGACAGAGCGAGACCGTCTAAATTAATTAATTAAAAAAATGAAGCTGCCGCCTCCCTCTCCGTGGCTGCCTGGCAGGCGGGTGGGCGGCGTAAGACCTGGCTTCGCGTCTGCTGCGCCGGTCCCGTCCCCGGGGCTGCGCCGCTGGGGGGCGTGGCCGGAAGCCCGGGCGGGCGCAGGCGTGAGGGCTGAGCGCCGAGCTGCCGATGGAGAGGGTCGCTCCCGGCGCGCGCAGGCGCAGACGTGAGGCGCGAGCGCCGAGTAGCTGATCGAGCGCGCCCCGCCCCCGGCGCCATCTCCCGGACCGCGAGCCGTCCAGGTACCCGGGGCCGGTGGGTGGGGAAGGGGCCGAGTGGGGAGAGGCGATCCCGGGCCTGGCACCCTCGGGGCGCGCCTGGGCCCCGGCACAGCCTCGGCTGAGTGCCGCAAAAGTCATGGGCATGTTTTAGAAACGCTTTTCTTGCTCATTGTCCACTCTGCGAGGTTGCTTTGCACATTCGCTCGTGGCTGCAGAACGTCCGCTTTTGCAGTTGGGCAGAAGCCCCTGCGTGGTTGGGGCGGTTGGCTCCTCGGCCCTCTCCTACCTGGCGGCTCCGTGACGGCTGCCGAGCAGCCTCGGTCCCCACCCCGCGGCTCGCAATGGCCTCGACCCTCGGAGAGCTTGACCCAGACGTTCCCTTCCCACATGAGCGGCGCTGCTCTTTCCCGGCTCTTCGGCGCGGGCCGCCTTCCCTCCCTTCTGCTCTTCTCCCATCCCCGGTAGCACCGTCCGCTCCCGCAGTTAGCCGGCTCAGCGCTGCCCTCCCGGGCCTCTCCGCCGAGAGCTGCCTGCGCCTGCCCGCCAGGCCCGCTCCCCTCCCTTCTCCCTTCTCCGTCCGAGTTTACCTTACTCTCCCGCCCGCTGGGCCAGAAACAGGCTGTCGTTCGTAACTCCTTTATTTTAATCCTACCTCAGATCCCTCGGCGGATCTGACGGTTCCACTTACAAAGAGAGAAGTCTGGAGCTGGCCCAGCTTCCGCACTAGGCAGGACCCTCCCACGGGCTCCGCTTCCATTCTTTCTCCCCAGCTCGCTGCCCACCTAGAGGCACCTCTCCGTCTTCATGCCCTAGGACCCCCTCGCTCGAGAAGCTCCACCCTCAGCTTGTTTGTTCCTCCAAGTTCATGCCGACTTAAAGGCGAGCTGTTGAGTTGTTGTTCCTGTGCCCCGAACTCTCTTCCCCGGCCATCAAACAGCTGCCTGCCTCCCTCATCAGCTCCCTCATCAGCTCCCTCAACCTCCAGCTTGGACTGCACCCCAAGGCAGCCCCCACCCCGCTGTCCTTAGTGTCCACAGTACCTCAGTTTTTCCTGGCAGCCCCCATAGCACCCTGTGTGTTCACCACTATTGAGCTCGGGAGAGCTCTTCGTGGCGCCCTGGGTCTCCAGGACCTGGTGCTTAGGGGCTGTCTTTTTTGTTGTTTTTTGTTTGTTTCTTTGTTTGTTTGTTTTGAGACAGGGTCTTGCTTTGTCTCCCAGGCTGGAATGCAGTGGCTCAGTCTTGGCTCATTGAAACCTTCACCTCCTGGGTTCAAGCAATTCTCCAGCCTCAGCCTCCTGAGTAGCTGGGATTATAGGTGTGTGACACCACGCCCAGCTAATTTTGTATTTTTAGTAGAGACGGGGTTTCACCATGTTGGCCAGGCTGGTCTTGAACTCCTGACCTCAGGTGATCCGCTTGTCTTGGCCTCCCAAAGTGCTGGGATTACAGGTGTGAGCCACCACACCTAGCTTAGGGGCCATCTTTGAGTCGGCCCTGGCTCTGCTCCCCAGGTCTCAGTGCTGTGGCCACCACAGAGCCTAGAGGATGTTTCACGGGATCCCAGCCACTCCGGGCATAGGAGGTGAGTGTGGCCGGAAGGGCACAGGCTTTCAGCCCCTGCTGCAGGGGCTGATGGGCAGTATTGGGTATTAGGCGTCAGGGATGGGGAGGCATCTGACCCTGCTCTCATACAGCCTTGGGGGTGGCCAGGGGCTGATGCAGTTTATCACAGGAGCACTGAGGGCCCAGAAACCTTCTCCAGGCAGAACTGGCTTGGTCCTGCTGGGCAGACATGATGAGCTTCAGTGTGGCCAGAACCGTGGGGGTCCTGGGCACCCTGTGTCACCAAACCCAGGGGAGAGGCCGTGTGTGATGAGCCTTGTTGGCACTGCATCATGAGTCACGAGCAGGACGTGGCCACTTGCGCAGGTGACTCGGCCAGGGAGCCGCAGTGGAGCTGGGGAGCTGGGCCTGTCATGCGGCCCCCGGCTTCTTAGAGGCGTTATCCTCAGGTCCCCCCACACACTGATGGGGTGAGGTTGGAACCCCTGTGTTCCAGCTCCCTCTGGGTTCTTTGGGACCCAGCCTGGGAGGCCTCAGGGAGGAACTGAAATAGAGGCTGGGACTGGAGCCTACCCTTGGGTTCCCTTTGGGGCCAGCCTGCCAGCTCTCTGCCTTCTCTTGCAGCCCCTGGGAACAAGCCAGAGCTGTATGAGGTGAGTGGTGGGTGCATACCCGGCCAGCATTGGCCAACAGCAAACACCTGTGTGGCCTTGCCAGGGCTCTGCAGCCCCTGCTGGCACCAGCCCACAGAGCCTGCTCTCTCCGGCAGGAAGTGAAGTTGTACAAGAACGCCCGGGAGCGGGAGAAGTAAGTCTAGCCACCCAGGCTGCCCCAACACACCCGTGCGCATCTGGCTGCCCTGGGGCAGCCTCCCCCAGACCCATCCCACACTGAGAGGTGGGAGGATACAGGGTCAGGCTGGGGAACCGTTCCTGAGGCACTCCAGGATGGAGCGAGAGGTGGGCAGAGCTCCCACAGTGGCACCTCCGGGCAGGGGATAATGCTCTGGGCTTGGCACCCCGGGGCCCGATAGACAGGTGTGTCCTCAGGTACGACAACATGGCAGAGCTGTTCGCGGTGGTGAAAACAATGCAAGCCCTGGAGAAAGCCTACATCAAGGACTGCGTCTCCCCCAGCGAGTAAGAGCCCACGTCCTTGGAGGCCTGCTCCTGCCCTGCCAGGCCTGGGTGCTCCGTAGACAGCAAGAACAGGCGTCTGTCAGGCTGTGAGGTGCCCACCCATGTGGGGCCCACCCAGCGTGAGGAGGATGCCCCTGGGTCTCAGCCAGGGAAGTCCTGGGGGGTGGGGAGGGAGGCGGGCAGAGGGGCAGCCCCTGGGGTGTCATCCGGCCCACTCCCCCACCCTTATCCCCCAGCACAGCCAACCTTAAAAGACGGTCGGGAGGCTTGGGGATGTCTCAGGATGTTTTGGGGGGCTTTGTGCAATGAAGTGACAAGACCCTCACAGGCCGCCACACAGGACCATGAGCTATGGATGGGGCCATCATAACAGATGGCTGGTTGCTGTCGTTCAGAGGGTGGGCAGGGGTGGGGAGCTGGGGCTTCCACCTGGAGGTGAGCTACAAGCCCCACTATGTGCTCAGGGCCTCGCCCCCCAAAGCTGCTAGCAGTCCCTCCTCCTTGCTCGGCCTGCCTTTGCCTGTTGCCCAGCCCTCTCTGGAAGCTGCTCTGCCTCTGGACCAGCTGAGGGGGCAGGATGAGCTGGGCGACGCTGGTCCCATGCTTGGGCCGCAGCTGACCTCTCCCTAGGTACACGGCAGCCTGCTCCCGGCTCCTGGTCCAGTACAAAGCTGCCTTCAGGCAGGTTCAGGGCTCAGAAATCAGCACTATTGACGAGTTCTGCCGCAAGTTCCGCGTGAGTGCCTGGTCCTTCCACCCCCATGGGACGGGGACTGTCGGGCGTGGGTATGGGGTGCCGGAGGGCTCTGGCCACCTGGGGCTTACTGTCCTGAGAGCCCCAGCACCCATGTCAGCCCCCCACAGCTGGATTGTCCACTGGCCATGGAGCGGATCAAGGAGGACCGACCCATCACCATCAAGGACGACAAGGGCAACCTCAACCGCTGCATTGCCGACGTAGTCTCGGTGCGCCCCAGCCCCCAGGGCTCACAGGGTTAGGAGGGCCGGGGCCGCCCGCTGCAGCTGGGCACAAGGGTAGAGTCCTGGACCACCAGAGCTGGGTAGCACTCTGAGTTGTTGGGCGGAAGGGGACCCTTTTAACTAGGGATGAGGGATTGGCAGCCTACGGGGAGGCCCCCCAGGCCACCTGGACTCCTGTTGGGGGGATGAGCACAGTGCGTTCTGGTGGGGTCCTGGCCTCGGGAGATAGTGTGTGGGCCCACCCTCCAGTTCCCATGCAGCTGTCTGGGCAGCCAGGACCTCGTTCACTCAGGAGGCCCGCAGGGTTTGGGAGCAGAGTACAGTGAGGAGGCCTAGTGACAGCTGTGGCTGGGAAGGGGTTGGGGCCTGTGAGCTGTTGGGCCACCCCCACCCCTGAACATGCAACCCTCATGTGCACACCTGCCCCCAGCTCTTCATCACGGTCATGGACAAGCTGCGCCTGGAGATTCGCGCCATGGATGAGGTGAGGGCATTGGGCTGGCAGGGGGCCTAGGCAGGAGGGGATGGAGCCAGTGTTGGGGTCCCAGCCGCTGTGTGTCCCAGATCCAGCCCGACCTGCGAGAGCTGATGGAGACCATGCACCGAATGAGCCACCTCCCGCCCGACTTCGAGGGTCGCCAGACGGTCAGCCAGTGGTGGGTGTCCCTCCCCGCCAGGCAGAGCCCCCGCGGTGCCCCGAGACCCTCCCTGCCAGGCAGAGCCCCCGTGGTGCCCCTGAGGCCCTCCCTGCCAGGCAGAGCCCCCGCGGTGCCCCTGAGACCCTCCCCGCCAGGCAGAGCCCCCGCGGTGCTCCTGAGGCTCTGCCCACCCCACATGCCCCGTGCTGCACTCCCAGGCTGCAGACCCTGAGCGGCATGTCGGCATCAGACGAGCTGGACGACTCACAGGTGCGTCAGATGCTGTTCGACCTGGAGTCAGCCTACAACGCCTTCAACCGCTTCCTGCATGCCTGAGCCCGTGGCTCCAGCCCCTGCACGGAAGGGCAGAGTCTGAGGCGATGACTCCTGGTCCCCTATCCGCCACACAGGCCCTGGTCATCCACATAACTCACTGTCTGCAGCTGCCCATCTTGTGTCTGTCTTTGGTGTCAGGACTTTGGGGGCCGGGCCCCTCCCCACAATAAAGATACTCCTGCGACCCTCCTGCCTGGGCGGCTCCCCCAGGCCTGCCTGTGTGTTCTCTCCACCCTCCGGGGACTCTGAGCACACATCCCCGCTCGCCGGGCCTGCCCTGTGTGTGTGGTGGCCCGGCCCTGGCTCTGTCCCTGCCACTGCGTCCCTCATGGCCTGCGTCACTCGGTGACAGCTGCTTCCCTGGTGGGCTCTGCCTGGGCATGCAGTGCGAGGCAGAGCTGCTTCCACAGCCCCGAGGCCTGGGAAGCAGGTCCACCACCTGGCCAGGCGTGGCTCAACTCTGGCCACAGGGGAGGCTGAGGCTGCCTGCCATCCCTCCCCACTCCTCACTGAAGCCCAGGGCAGGACCAGGTCTGAGTGCAGTCAGGTCCCAGCGCACCCGGCCAGGCTGGGCTCAGGCGGTGCGCTTCATGCTGTCAGCTGCTCCACACCCACCTCTCGTCTCTAGTGACTGCACCCTGGCCGGGACTCCTGACTTACTGCAGCTCCAGCCAGTGACTCATCGGGTGGGAGTTTGTAAGCCCACCACCAGGGCCTCTCCCCAAGTGCCTCAGCAGAGCCCGAGTCAAGGCCGGGCCTGGTGGGGAGGCAGTGGGTGGTGGACACCGTCCGTTCACAGCATGTGCTGTACGCCAGCCGCTGCCCCCAGGGAAAGCAGCAGACCACACACCACACTTGGGGAGGCAGTGGGTGGTGGACACCATCCGTTCACAGCGTGTGCTGTACACCAGCCGCTGCCCCCAGCGAAAGCAGCACACACCACACTTCTGGGTTCCAAGAGCCACGTTTCACATCTTAGCAACTCTGCTGTCAGGACAAGGGACGTGCCAGGGTGTCACTGTAGCGTTTTTCTTTCTTAGCGGCTGAGAACACCAGGATCTCTTGCCATCTGTGGCATGTAGAGCCGATGGAATGAGGTGTGTAGAGAAAGGAAGATGGTGAAAATCGAGTCGTGTGGTATTCCGCGGGGGCTTGGGACGTCGAGCAGGAGGGCATGGAGGAGGCAGGTGGGCTCTGCACGGGCTGTGTGGGGGCTGCCTCTCAGACGGCCAAGGGGGGCCATCAAGCAGGATGACAACTTCAGTGGCTGGAGAGGGAGGCTGAATCCCACCAAGAAGCCAGAGGACTGGCCAAGGGCACTGCTCTGGGAAGTGGGAAGAGACTGACCAAGGAGTCAGAGAAGAGCCCCCAGGACAGCAGGATCCAGGGCACCCGGAGGGAGCTGAGGAAGGGTACTGTCGAGTTGGGCCGTGGGGCCTCAGTGTCCTTGACAGGCACACGTGGGTGCAGGGTGCTTCGAGGGAGGACCAGCACCCAGAAACGTGTGTGGCAAGCCGAGCAGATGGCCTGGGTCATTTTGATCTTTTTTTTTTTGAGGAGTCACTTTCTGTTGCCCAGGCTGGAGTGCAGTGGCACCATCTCGCCTAACTGCAACCTCCACCTCCCGGGTTCAAGCAATTCTCCTGCCTCAGCCTCCTGAGTAGCTGGGATTACAGGGGTGTGCCACCATGCCCGGCTAATTGTGTACTTTCAGTAAAGACAGTTTCTCCATGTTGGTCAGGCTGGTCTCCAACTCCTGGCCTCAGGTGATCGCCTGTCTCACCTCTGAAAGTGCTGGGATTACAGGCACAAGCCACCACACCCAGCCTGCAATTTTTTTATTTTACTTTTTATTTTTCTTTATTTTTATTTTTTTTGAGACAGAGTCTTACTCTGTCACCCAGGCTAGAATGCAATGGCATGATCTCGGCTCACTGCAACCTCCGCCTCCCAGGTTAAAGAAATTCTCGGGGCCGGGCGCGGTGGCTCAAGCCTGTAATCCCAGCACTTTGGGAGGCCGAGACGGGCGGATCACAAGGTCAGGAGATGGAGACCATCCTGGCTAACATGGTGAAACCCCGTCTCTACTAAAAATACAAAAAACTAGCCGGGCGAGGCGGCGGGCGCCTGTAATCCCAGCTACTCCGGAGGCTGAGGCAGGAGAATGGCGTGAACCCGGGAGGCGGAGCTTGCAGTAAGCTGAGACCCGGCCACTGCACTCCAGCCTGGGCGACAGAGCGAGACTCCGTCTCAAAAAAAAAAAATTCTCGGCCGGGCGCGGTGGCTCAAGCCTGTAATCTCAGCACTTTGGGAGGCTGAGACAGGCGGATCACAAGGTCAGGAGATCGAGACCATCCTGGCTGACACGGTGAAACCCCGTCTCTACTAAAAAATACAAAAACACTAGCCGGGCGAGGTGGCGGGCGCCTGTAGTCCCAGCTACTGGGGAGGCTGAGGCAGGAGAATGGCGTGAACCCAGGAGGCGGACAGGCACGAGCCACTATGCCTGGCTAGTTTTTGTATTTTTAGTAGAGACGGGGTTTCGCCATGTTGGCCAGGCTGGTCTCGATCTCCTGACCTCAGGTGTTTTGCCCGCCTCGGCCTCCCAAAGTGCTGGGATTATAGGCATGAGCCACCGTGCCCGGCCTGTTTTTTTTTTTACTGTGATAAAATATAACAAATTTTGCCTTTTTATCTGATTTTAAGTACACAGGTCAGGGCCATTAAGTGTATTTACATTATTGTGCAACCTCATCATCGTCCACCTCCAGAACTTTTCCATCCAAACAAAGTAAAGCTCCATCCCCGTAAAACACTCCTGCACATTCTCCCTTTCCCCAGCCCTGGCAGTCACCCTTCTTCCCTTCCCTTCCCTTCCCTTCCCTTCCCTTCCCTTCCCTCCCTTCCCTCCCCTCCCCTCCCCTCCCCTCCCCTCCCCTCCCCTCCCCCTTCCCCTTCCCCTTCCCCTCCCCTTCCCCTCCCCTTCCCCTCCCCTTCCCTTCCCCTTCCCCTCCCCTTCCCCTTATCCTTCCTCTTTCCTTCCCCTTTCCTTTCCTTTCCTTGGCAGTTTGACTCTGTCGTCCGGGGTGGAGTGCAGTTGCACAATCTCGGCTTACTTCAGCCTCCACCTCCTAGGTTCAAGCAATTCTCCTGCCTCAGCCTCCCAAGTAGCTGGGACTACAGGTGCATGCCACCATGCCCGGCTAATTTTTTGTATTTTTAGTAGAGACAGGGTTTCACTGCATTAGCCAGGATGGTCTCGATCTCCTGACCTCGTGATCCACCCGTCTTGGCCTTCCAAAGTGCTGGGATTACAGGCGTGAGCAACGGCGCCTGACCTTTTTTTTGAGACAGAGTCTCGCTCTGTCACCTAGGCTAGAGTGCAATGGTGCGATCTCAGCTCACTGCCACCTCCGCCTCCGGGGTTCAAGCAATTCTCCTGCCTCAACTTCCTGAGTAGCTCAGATTACAGGCCTGTGCCACCATGCCCAACTGATTGTGTATTTTTAGTAAAAACTGGATTTCTCTGTATTGGTCAGGCTGGTCTCCAACTCCTGACCTCAGGTGATCCGCCTGCCTCGGCCTCCCAAACTACTGGGATTATAGGCATGAGCCACCGCGCCCCGCCTGTTTTATTTTATTTTTTTAATTTAAATTTAATTTTTTTATTTAAGACGGAGTCTCCCTCTGTCGCCCAGGCTAGAGTGCAATGGCATGATCTTGGCTCACTGCAACCTCCACCTCCCAGGTTCAAGCAATTCTTTTGCCTCAGCCTCCCAGGTAGCTGGGACAACAGGCACGAGATACCATGCCCAGCTAATTTTTTTTTTTTTTTTTTGAGACTAAGTCTCGCTCTGTTGCCCAGGCTGAAGTACAGTGGCACCATCTCTGCTCACTGCAAGCTCCACCTCCAAGGTTCACGCCATTTTCCTGCCTCAGCCTCCCCAGTAGCTGGGACTACAGATGCCCGCCACCACCCTCGGCTAATTTTTTGTATTTTTAGTAGAGATGGGGTTTCACCGTGTTAGCCAGGATGGTCTCAATCTCCTGACCTCGTGATCTGCCCACTGGCCTCCCAAAGTGCTGGGATTACAGGCATGAACCACCGTGCCCAGCCTATTTTATTTTATTTTTACTGTGATAAAATATAATAAATTTTGCCGTTTTAACTGATTTTAAGTGCACAGTTCAGGGACATGAAGTGTATTTACATTATTGTGCAACCTCACCACCGTCCACCTCCAGAACTTTCCCATCTAAACAAAGTGAAGCTCCATCCCCATAAAACACTCATGCGCATTCTCCCCTCCCCAGCCCTGGCAATCACCCTTCTTTCTTTTCTTTTTTTTCTTTTTTTTTTTTTTTCAGACAGAGTCTCGCTCTGTTGCCCAGGCTGGAGTGCAGTGGCCAGATCTTGGCTCACTGCAAGGTCCGCCTCCCGGGTTTACGCCATTCTCCTGCCTCAGCCTCCCAAGTAGCTAGGACTACAGGTGCCTGCCACCTCGCCCAGGTAGTTTTTTTATTTTTATTTTTTAGTAGAGACGGGGTTTCACCGTGTTAACTAGGATGGTCTCAATCTCCTGACCTCGTGGTCCCCCCACCTCCCAAAGTGCTGGGATTACAGGCTTGAGCCACCGCGCCGGGCCTCTTTCCTTTCCTTTCTTTTTTTTTTTTTCAGAAGGAGTTTGGCTCTGTCGCCCAGGCTGGAGTGCAGTGGTGTGATCTCAGCTCACTGCAGCCTCCACCTCCCGGGTTTAAGTGATTCTCCTGCCTCAGCCTCCTGAGTAGCTGGGACTACAGGGGCATGCCACCACGCCCGGCTAAATTTTGTATTTGTTTGTTTTTGAGTTGGAGTTTCGCTCTTGTCGCCCAGGCTGCAGTGCAATGGCGCGATCTCGGCTCACTGCAACCTCCGCCTCCCAGGTTCAAGAGTCTCCTGCCTCAGCTGGGATTACAGGCATGTACCACCACGCCCAGCTGATTTTCCATTTTTAGTAAAGATGGGGTTTCTCCATGTTGGTCAGGCTGGTCTTGAATTCCCAACCTCAGGTGGTCCACCTGCCTTGGTCTTGCAAAGTACTGGGATTACAGGTGTGAGCCACTGCGACCAGCCTGTATTTATTTTATTTATTTTTAAATTATTTTTTCTTTTTCTTTTTTTTTTTTTTGAGATGGAGTCTTGCTCTGTC